ACCTGCGGTCGCCTCCCTGCTCCCGGCGGAGCGCCGGGCGGGGAACGGAGAGCAGGACCAAACCTCCCGCGCCAGGACCACAATTACTCTCCCTTTCGGGAACTGCACCCATCCATCGCAGTGCGACAGCCGGCCAACTGCGCGTGCGCAGCCCGGGTCTCCGCCCACCCTTCCCATCATGCTCCGGACAGCGAGGGGACCTTCCCAGCATCCCCCGCTCCTCAGCTATGGTCGACGCCTTAGAGAGAGCCAGGCTGGCCGTGAGACGGGGAAGGAAGAGGCTGGAGTGTCAGAAGGCCCTGTGAGCGCTCAGAACCCTCCTTGAGTGCCCATTTCCGTGAAGTAGCCCCTGAGGGAACGTAAATAATACCTAACACTCGGACCACGCACCATCCAAGCACTTGACACGTCTTCCCACTGAATCCTCACCAAAACCAGAAGTTATTTTTGTCGTAACTTGCCCAAAGTCAGGATTTGGCATTCTTTCGTTCAACGTTATCTCTGAGCTACGTCCGTGATTTGTGAGAGTTGGGGAGACATTTTCATTTTGATTGCTGTATAGTATTCCACTTCATGAATATACTACGTTTTTTCCCAGATTTTTTGCCATAGGGCACAAACACTCGCTGCTGAGAGAGAGAGGGAAATGGAGGAAATCAGAAATTATCCCCCCCATTGGTCACACTGCAGTCCCTTCTCTATTCTCTCCAGATTTTTGGGCGCAGTCATATGCACCCAGCACTGGCATGTTTTTCAAGTTACTAGGTCTGAGACGAGTGGTGCAGGCCCTGTGGGATCCTGCACCTTAACCAGCAGGCCACCTGCTGGCCCAGCTACAGTATAATTACCTACTGCTGATGGACATTGGGTGTGGTTCCAATTTTCAGCTATTAGGAATATTGCTACTGTGACGGGCGCGGCCAGAAGGTGGTGTGGTGGTTAAGGGCACTGGACTCCCACATGGCCAACCATGGTTCCAGTCCTGGCCTGATAGTTTGCTTTCTCACTTTCTCCCTCTCTCTCATTCTGTCTCTCTCTGGTCAAATTAAAATAAGTTAATAAAGTCAAAATTATTTTTTCAAAAAGGAATATTGCTACTGTGAACATTCCCATCTTTTGTTGCTTTGTACCTAGCAGTAATATTGCTTGTTATGGGGGCCGGCAAGTGGCATGGTGGTTAAAGGCACTGGACTCCCACATGGCCGTCCACAGTTCGAGTCTCGGGCCTGGTGGCTTGCCTTCTCACTTTCTCTCTCTCCATGTCTCTCTGATCAAACTGGAAAATAATAATGATAATAATAATAAATAAAGTTAAAATAAGATAATTCTTTTAAAAAATATTGCTTGTTATGTATATACAAAACTTTAGATAATGTGATGTTTTCTAGAAAGTGGTTGGTTCAGTTTACACTCTCACTGATTTAGCCCTCTTATAACAAAGTTCCTAAGGTTGGGACTGAGCTTCTGTCTTTCAGAAGACTGCCCAGAAACCTGTGAGAACTGGCTAGGACTGGAAGAACCCAGATGGCTTCATGGAGCCTGTACAGAACACACCTAGCAATGACCTGAAGTGACCTAGTGACATGAAAACCCAGAAAGTATGACAGCTCCCATCATAACAAGGCTGACATTTCTGCTCATGCCCTGTACCAATACACAGGCAGACCCTCTGCACTTGCCTACCCAGAGTCCAAGCCCCAAATGCCCAAGAACCAATCATAAAGTGCCTTACAAGCTACTACCCCCTTACTAACATCAAACTCATATGTAGGAGATAGATTTGAGCCAGTCTCCTGTCTCCTAGACCAGCAGCTTGGTAATAAACATTCTCTTATAAAATTGGAAGGTGAATTACATAGGTTCGATGACACCACCAGTCATGTTTGAGAGTTTGTTTTCCAATATCCTTGCTGATAATTACAACTGTACACTTTTTTTTTTTTTGGAGAGGTTTTTGTTATAGAGTGTGTGCACACGCCAGAAAGACAGAGAGAGACAGAGAGACAGAAAGCCAGAAATCACCCCTTGGGGTGCAATCCCTTCTCCTCCATTCTCCTCTTGGGATCTTAGGCACGCACACACATGCGCCTGGCGTGAGTTTAAGCCACCAGGTCCAGGACTCGAACCGCAGTCGACTACATGGGAATCCAGCGACATAGCCATTACGCCAACTGCTTGTCCTGAGCTGTACATCTTTTTAAATTGTAACCGTTCTGGTGGGGATATAGCAGTATCTCACTATGGTTTTCACTTGCATTTCCTAGATTGCTGAAGTTAAGCCCATTTTCATGCTTTTGAATATCTGGATATTCTTTCCATATTCAAGATTCTTAGTTATTTTTTGTATTGTATTGCTTGCCATTTTTCTTATGGATCTGTATGCTGAATACAAGCTCTGCTATGGTTTGAATATATGTGTCCTTTCTAAATCCATATGTTGGAACTTAACACAAAGGTGTTGGTATTGGAGAGGGGAGGGGTGACTAGGCCATAAGTTCTCTGCCTCCCAAAGGGGATTGATGCCCTTTTCAGAGAGGCTTCACGCAAGGTTTATCCCTTTCGCCCTTTGAATCCTTCCACTATGGGAGAACACAACATTCCTCACCTCAAGAGAATACAATGCCATCTTAGAATCAGAGAGAACCTTTACCAGACAACGAATCTGCCCACACCTGACCGTGGATTTCTCAGCCTCCAGAATTATGAGAAAAAATATCTGTTATCTATAAATTACCCAGTCTATGAAAGTTGTGACCAGCAGGGACAGACTAAGACCATCCTTTTTGAATACACATATTGCAAAATATTGCCTCTCACTCAGTAGCTTGCCTTTTCTTTCTCTTATTGGTGTCTTTTATGAGCATAAAAGAACTTTATGCTTCGTGCTGCTTATGTTCTGTTAACAAATACTTCCTTGCCAAAGGTAGGAAATTTCTGGAAGTGTTACTACTTTGTCTTTCACATTTAGATTTGTAATCCATCTGAAGTTGGGTTTTATGGATGGCATATGTAAGGTGTTCATCTTTTCCATGTAAATATGAAATTGATTAAGCCTTATTTTTTTTTTAAGAATGATTGTATCTAGTTTTGTATATCATTTTTCTTTTAATGTGACCAGAGAGACAGAGGGAAACTGAGAAAGCCAGTTGCCAGGTTCAGAACTTAAACCACGGTAGGCCATAGGGGAGCTCAGCGTCCCAACCACCATGTCACATGCTGATCCCTATTTATTTATTTTTTATTCATCTGTTTATTTGTTGTGACTTTTGGGCCACTGGATCTGGGATTTGAACCACGGTCAGTTATGTAGGAGTTTAGTGCTTCAACTACCGTGCCACCTGCCGGCCAAATTAAGCCCTGTTTTTGCAAAGCTTATTGTTTCCCCCACTAGTCTGCATTGTCACTTTTGTCACATATAAATAGTCTAAATATGTGTTGGCTGTTTCAGGACTGTAACCTATTCCTTTTATCTCTTCTTGTAAAAATATGTTATCTTAATTTTTATAACAGATTTACAACATTGGGTTGTCAGAAAAGTCATGACATGGGGCCCGCAGGTGGTTAAGGTGCTGGACGTTCCCACATGGCCAACCACGGTTCAAGTCCTGGACCTGGTGACTCGCTTTCTCACTTTCCTTCCCTCTGTGTGTCTATCTTCTTCTGATCAAATTAAGATAAATGAATGAATAAATAATTCTTTAAGAAAAAAGAAAAGTCATGATGCAATTTTTGTGTAGAAAAATACATCATGACTTTCTTTTCTGACCACTCAATAATTCATGATATCTTATAGGAAAAAGCCTTCCCTACCACTGTGTTCTTCAAGGTTGTCTTGGGGCCAGCAGATGGTATAATTGTTACATCGTTGGATTCCCACATGACCAGCCACAGTTCAAGTCGACTACCTGGTGGTTTCAAACTCATGCCAGGTGCATGTACATGTGTGCCAAAACTCCCGAGAGGAGAATAGAAGAAAAGGGATTGTGACATGGCTGGGGGATGATTTCTTGCTTCTTGTCTCTCCATCTCTCTGTCTCTGGCAAGCGCATGCACCCTATAGTTAAAAATCTCTCCCTTCAAAAGAAAAAAGATTATCAGGACCAGCAGGTGGCGTGGTGGTTAAGGTGCTGGACACTCCCACATGGCCAACCATGGTTTGAATCCTGGACCTGGTAGCTTGCTTTCTCACTGTCTCTCTCTCTCTGTCTGTCTTACTCTGGTCAAATTAGAAAGGAAAAAAAAAAAAAGAATAAATAAAATTAAATAATTCTTAAAAAATATTATCTTGGCTTTCTTTGGTTCTTTGTATATTAATATAATTTTTTTAATCAGCTTATCAATTGTGACAAAATTTTTCTTTTAAAATTTTAGAATCAGTCGGGATTGATTTTCTGTTGCACTGAAGCTGTATAACTGTTTTAGAGATTTGGCATTTGTTATTCATTGTGTTGGATTGGGTCCCTAAAAAAGATACACTGACGTCCTTACCGTCAGAAATAGGGTGGCTGCCAGTGTAATTAGTTAAAGCAAGGCCGTACTGGAATAAGGGCCCTTGATCTATTAGGAACGGTGTCCTTATAAGAGGAGAATATCATGGAACAGTGGATACAGAGATTCAAGTAATATAGCTGCAAGCCAAAGAATGCTAAGCATTATTTTTTTCAAAGAATTATTTATTTGATTTTTTTTTTTTTAACTTGCTATACGACAAATGCATGCACCAGAGAGACACGAGAGAGAGAAAATGAATGTGAAAAAGCAAACTGCCAGGTCCAGGACTTGAACCACAGTTAGCTATGTGGGAGTCCAGCACCCTAACCACCATGCCCCCTGCTGACCCTGCTAAGCATTATTGATAATCGCCAGAAGCAAAAAGAGATAAAGAAGGATTCTCCCATACAGGTTTCAGAAAAATCAATACTCAACAGATCTTTGTTTTTTGACTTCTAGTCTCAAGAACTGTCAGATAATAATTCTGTTGTTTTGGGACTGACAGTTGGTGTGATAGCTATATCACTGAACTACCATGTAGTAGACCGTAGTTCTAGTCCTGGACCTGGTGGCTTAAACTCATGCCAGGCACATGTGCATAGGTGCCCAAGATCCTGAGAGGAGAATGGAGGAGAAAGGAATGCA